GTGTTTGAGTTGTCGAGTTACACTTGTGTCCTCTGTATATGGCACTTCGGTGCCATGGACAGAAAGACGAGGAGCAGATACCTAGGGTTCGAATATGGAACGCCCACGCCGTCGGAAGGTTGTCGTCGATATTCTGATTTCCACCAAATTTCCTCCCAGCAGGACAAACTTCCGGATAAATCACACCGTTCTGTTAAATGCCCAGCCAGGCAGGGTTACATCCAACACCTTGATAAGGTTTTTTGATTCGTTGCCAGCCCTTTGGCATCGGCTTGGCTTCTCTGTGCGGCGCAGGTCGTTTTGTACCACTTACACCAAGGGTTCGAGTAAGTACGAAGTAGTAAGGTAGTTGCGCGAGGGCTGAAATCGACGTGTCGAGCGCCAAACTGGCGGGTGCTGAAGCAAGTTCTCCCGCTGCGAGTTCTGTGTCAGACGCGTTTAGCGGTGACAGCAGCAGCCATCTCCAAACAACTAGGGTCATGATGGAATGGTGCGTGATTTATCATCATTTCACTCGAAGCCTCCAGGTCGGCGGCGTCCTTGGCAGCGCCTTTCTTGTGGAGCAATTCAGAACAACCTTCGCATCTACCACTCCCCGATAACTACCAGAAATAAAGGTGCGCTTGCTCATCTTATCTCCAATAAGCTTCCGATATGGGCTGGATCATCGTCTCCATGATACCCCAGATATTCTAACGGTGAAGAGGTCGTATCATGTCCACTGATGTAGAATACGGTATTGTACTCGATAATCTGGAACAATCCCGGCCACCGAACCACGTGGAATTCCCAAGCTGACATGAACGCGCTACAGGGCTACAGCCAATCGTATAATTTCTAATGCCCCATAGCCACGATGACCCCAACTTTGAGGGGGGGACTACTACTAGCGCCGTAAGTTATCATGCCGGCCCTGTAAGTCCAACGCAGGATCATGCGGGCAGAATAATGATAATCATGCCATCAGCCTATTATTGTTATTTGTGAACCCTTTCAAAACCATGACACCACTACCGACCAAAAGTGGTTCACTTCTCGTTTCCGGCAATTCCAAGCCGGGGACTTGGAGAAAGTCTCCGGCTTCCGCTGACGTTGTTCCACCTCCGCCTGGTGATAGCGGACTCTTCCACCCCGAACCTTATCTCCGAGGTCTTCATGGAATATATTAATGCGTTAACGTTTCCTCGGCGTAAATGCTGAGGCTGCAGGTGGCACACCGACAAATAATATGAAGCACGGAGGATTTAACTCCCTTGCATACTATTTAACTTGCCCCGCTAAAACCGGCTTTAACCCAACAGGCAAAAGTCATTGAAGTAGCAAACTCAGTTTCAACTTTCCCAGTATCTGACAGGGTCCTTGGAAATATGGGGTAATTGAAATCACAGGTCGCATGCGCAAGGGATCAAGTCATTGGGGACGTCCCATCCGGCGGAGCAGTTCACTGACTCGGTGCGTCAATTTCAAACCCGCGGCACCGTTCGCGGATCGGATCCGACTTCGTCCCCGATAGGCTACGTATCTAAAGCAGCTGTGCACTACTGTATGATCCTCAACCTTCGGTCAGGAGCGCAGAAAAGGCATGAATAAACTGAAGTTGGCTTCGTTTGCGAAGATGCATACAAAAAGAAAAGGGGGGAAAAAAGAGAGAGAGAGAGAGAGAGAGAGAGAGAATGGGCCCAGACAAAAAAGATATTTTCCCCCGAACCGGAATCGAGCCGGTGACCTTTCGGTTATATGTTCCCATTACAGCCGAACGTGATATCCAACTACACCATCGGGGGTTGTTGAGAAAATGATTTGGTTTAATGCATTATGTTCAAAAGCAGGAAAACACCATGGCTCTGTATTAGTTTTGACACCGAATGATCCAATGTAGGGCGTCAATACCTTATCCTGGAAAAGCGAAAGAAGGGCTTCTAGGGAGGCTTACTGGTATTTTTCAAGAGTCGCAGGGCATGCTCAGCGCACTCCAAGGCAGCCCTCACCTGTATCATGGACACGGCTCACAACCAGACTGTTGTATGATAAGGTGTGAGAATATACTTTTCTATGATGACTAGACCTAGTGCGGGCTCTCAGTGCAATGGTCGATCCTGGGCCTATAAATGTCATGTATTAAGTAGTACCGGGGTGGATAAGAATATGTTCAATGAGCTTTTGGGAGGGGGGAACCGGTGCGCTGCTCTATCAGAGGCAGGTTATATTATGATATCATGTATATTGATAAGGTAGTAGTGAAGAACCCCGAGGTGAAGCTAAGAATGCTTCCTGAATTGTGAATCATTATGCCTTACATAGAGCAGAGATCTTCCAGCCCTGGGAGTCAACTGCCATAGCCTAGCCTTGTCTGTTCAACCGGGGCTAACCTAATGAGACCACTGTAGCGGGGTAAGCATCAGAGGCACTGAGGTTCGTATTGGGGATGTACTACTGGTATCCCACAAGGTATAAATATAATATATGTGATACAGGAATATGAAACAGGCAGGGGCTACAAAAAACAAAGGGCGGAAGCTGCTGTGTTCATGAGTCGGCGTTCCTCATCAGGAACCCTTTAACGAATGGCAGCCGATCGATGATCTCGAATCCCAGACTTCGGCCCCACGCAACAGGTCCCTGACCTGGCACGTTGTACAGTTTGTGTAGTACATCGCAAGTGGCGCCGATCTTTGCATTAGTGGCCCATCGATCAGCAGTGTAGCGTTCAAGTGTCAGAATGTCACCAATGTCCATTCCATGGTTCACCGCGTACTCAATCGTGCTAGAGAGGGACGCTACATCGCCAATACCGAGGTTGAGACCCTGTCCAGCTAGAGGATGAATGACATGAGCTGCGTCGCCGACAAGGGCTACGCGCGGTGAAATGTAGGATGATGCGTGTCTGAACCGTAGAGGAAATGAAGCCACACTGCCCTCTTGGAGGCCTGTGACCATAGGCGGAAGTTGGGAAACGGGAGGGGTGTGTTGAAGGCGCCAGGTTAGTTCACTCTCGTGAGGATTTTCGTCCAGATCAGCAACAGAAGTAGACGGGCGCTCCATACGCATCATGTACTGGAGATCGGGCATGGACAGGCGAAATGCCGCATTCACCATCGCTATGAACGCCCCAGGGGACAGAGATTTGAGGTAGGCGGCGTTTTCAACGGTAGTAGACCAGACCAAGGTGGCATGGTTATTCGGAAGCGGAAGCAGCGCTATGGGGCCTCCAAGAGAGGGCAGGAACCGCTGGTAAGCTGTCCTCGATCCGGTGGGAAAGGGAGGGGGAAACTGATCAGCGAGGGAAAGAGTTGCGACAATTCCATGACGCTGATAATCCCAACCTTCCGTAGCAATGTCAGCATACCGACGGACAGGGCTATTGATACCGTCCGCTCCGACGAGCAGTCTTGCAGCAATCCGGGATGGCGATGCAGCGGATTGATTTGGGCCGCCGGCCGGGGCGATAGAGAGTATCGGCCACGCCGAAAGATCTGGCTCGCCGGGCTCACCCGGGGTGCCGTTCTCGATGGAGGATACGGTAGATTTGGAGAAAATGGAAAGGTTCTCATCCCCAGATTCAGCGATCCGTGAGAGAAGGCCGCGTATGAGGTTAGCGTTCTCTGTCATTGTCGCAACGGTTCGGGCATCCTCGAACGGTGAGGTTTCCATGGACCAGTCGAATGTTATCTTTGACCCTGTTTCTCCATCCCATACTTCCATCCCGTGGTACGGCTGCGTCCGCTCGAGATCCAAGTGTCCCCATGCACCGATCTTCTGCAGAAATGATACGGATGATGGCGTAAGGCTGCTGACACGATTGGAAAAATGTTGCGGGTCGAGTTTCCAAGACTGGGATTTGTCCAAGTCTTGTGATTCTACGAGAGCCACCTTTAACCTCGACGTTGCAGGCGACGCACCTGAACGTATTACATCAGTACCACAGAAAGCAATGCGCAAGGACAGTGAGAGACAACGACTTACGTAGAGCTGTAAGAAGTGCGAGGCCGGCAGGGCCACCTCCGACGCAGACTACATCGTAGATATCCGTCACCGGCGCCGGTTTCGACCCAATTCCCCTCCTGTTGGAGAAACGTGCCGTACGGCAGGATGGACAGATGTACGGTCGAAGGACCGAAGGCGAGATTAACCGCATGCTAAGCTGAATTGAGTATGCTGAGGTTCAACAGCGAGGAGGGTGCCGGTAGATCATAAGATGTGTTGCAAACAGGACAAACGAAGAGCAGGATGATGAGGTGCTGGTGCCAATTCTGTTTTAGCAATATGTAGACAGCTTTTGAGGAAGCAAAACATACAAACCCCCGATGGTGTAGTTGGATATCACGTTCGGCTGTAATGGGAACATATAACCGAAAGGTCACCGGCTCGATTCCGGTTCGGGGGAAGTGTCTTTTTTTTAATTTTCTTTTTATACACACGTCCTATTCAACAACCTTCAAATTCTTTCTCCTTAGCACCAGGTTTTATTGCTTTGGGCTTGTTTCGAGATAACTCCGGCTAAATATGTTAGCCCTTGCAAGCTAACCGCATAAATCCTATGAAGCTATGATGACGCGACGAATGTTACTCAAGGTCCGCACAGCCTTCTACCTGACGAGCCTGGTAGACAGGATCTTTGCATATCCTCCTGTTTCTGAAAGGGTCATATTCACATCACTGAACCAGAACTATGGAAGGAGTCATGCAGCACAGGCTGCCACTCCTACAGAGAATCCGCAAGAATCTGTCGCTTTCTTTCAGTGCAGACCATGCAAGAGTATGCGAGTCAACCCGATATTCGTGCTACTGTTTCCGAGGGGACCGAAAAGATGGCCGAGCATTCATACCTAGTGCTGCTACATTCCATACTGCTAAGGCTTGCTTCTCAGTAACTTGGCCGACAGTTGGACTCGCTCGCCGTGGTTCCTTAGACGGTGGCACCGTAGCGCTTGCAAACGAACATGAACGAGGATAAAGTTTGTGGCACATGAAGCAGCGTGAGCACCGCTCAGCATCCAAATCCCCCGATGGTGTAGTTGGATATCACGTTCGGCTGTAATGGAACATATAACCGAAAGGTCACCGGCTCGATTCCGGTTCGGGGGAAAATACATCCATCTTTTTTTTTTGCATCGTGAGTGTTGGCCAAACCTTTACTGCTGGGCTTCTTCGAACACAAGAGACTATTTTGTGGACTGAGAGCATGCGATATAAAACTTGGTGGTGTCATCAAAAGTGACGACGTGCGATTCTCCCTGTAAGGCTGTTCAGACCGGGCACACAGGACGCCATATCAGCTCTTCCAGGCGATGGAACAGGCGATGGAACAGGCGCTCTGGGTATGAAACTGCGGGCAGGCAATATGCCTAAGTTGAGCAGCAGAAAAGTTAAAGCTTGTCGGGTATTGTCTCCACTCCATGTTGCAAACGATCGTTGCTATGCCTGTTTGATTCCGACCCTTCTGCCTGCCAGTCTCTTGGACGGTTGTGGACATTTTTCTCCGACTCCTGGTCAACCACAATATGCAGTAGGAGCCTGCCAGGAAACGGGCATGGGCATTGCTAGTCTGGTTCTCGATGTAGCCCCACAGATCACCCCCCGCAGAAGCGCTATCACCGGCGTGGGCGACATCCGGCTTTCAGGCACCATGCTTCTGAATCGAGGAGAGTATCCGGCACATAAAAGATGGGTAGCCCGTCGAAGCGGACAGCCCGGTGTGAGGTAATGATTGCAGAGCGGAGCTCGTCAGTGGAAAGATGGATAGGCACGGCTTTCAATGTTACACGACGAGTATGTGCGCTGTCAAGCAAAGCCCTCCTAGCACACTCCGTGGATGGAATATGGCATGGCATAGAGTTCGTCAATCTTGGTAGAACGGGCGGTTCATCGTTCTGTTAGTGGCTATGCAGGACTGAGTTGTCGCCAGCGATTTACCAGTCCCCGCAAAAGTATTTGCTGCATATAACTTTGAACTGCTCTTGCAGCATGGCAGACAATTCCCGCGCTGGCGGCTGAGGTAGGTAGTATTCCGGTCTCGAGGAATCCCTGAAAATGGGTAAGGTAAAATAAGAGAGAGCAAGCAAAGTAAGGATGACAAAAATAAGATTGACAAGAGTGGGATTTGAACCCACGCCACTTTCGTGACCAGAAGACTCTTGAGTGATCTCAAGTAAGGAAAGTCCTTGAGTCTGGCGCCTTAGACCGCTCGGCCATCTTGCCGTATATCAAAAATATCTTATTTTTTGACTATATAGCCTGCTGCACAAAAATAGGGATCCGGTGATGCTCAAGTATGACCTGGTTGTTAGAGAAATGTAGATTCACTATGCGCTTTAGTAATTGTTTCTTGCCTTTGGTAATCTTATATTAGCACTCTACGGCGCTTTTTATGATTTCTAGGGCTGAAGGGTACCATAAGAGGTTGCATTAGTCCTCACCTCTCATCCTACCTTGGGATGTTCACTGGGTATAGGTAACGTCCACGCTATATATATTTCCCTCGGCTACGGGCACATCAGCATCTGCTCTATGCCTATCCTTCCACAGACCAGGGACCAGGCTATGCAGCCGCAACATGGGGTGAAAAGCCTCAGCCTGCATCATTGAAAAATGCAAAACCGAAAATGGCATGGCCACCGTGGACGGCGAACAGGCCAGCAGTTTCTATGATCCATGTAGTATGTAGTTCCTGTAAAAGCGACACCCCAGCCAGAAACCGACAACATCCACCTAGATACACCCATTCGGGGACGAGACAAACCTTAACAAAGCCCAGGCTAAGAATAGAATACATGCATGTAGATGCACCTACACTGCCACCGCCAGTATGACGCGGAGAACGCTGCGCCACGGGCGCTCGCCCATCCGCCGTATGTCCCACCAAATCATGTACGTTTCAGACCTCCATGCTGAGGACGTGGTTGGCGTTGCATAACTCAAGTTTCTCAAACCCTTCAATCGCCATCGCCACGCGGGATAAGTAACAATGCGTAAGGGAGCCGTAGACCAGGTGAAGTAGCATGGCGTCTCAGCTGGAATGTTAGGTCGTGGCGAAACCTTGCAGAAGGTCCGGACAAGGCATGTGTTCTACCAGTTGCAGAGTACAATTCGACCGCCTAGACTCTGGACCTGACCTACCTCGTACCTAGTAGTAAGGTATCTAGTATACTTGAAGTACGAGCTACCTGGTAATTAGGTATCTGATTGGTCCGGCCGGGCCCGGTGCCTGGGCTATTCTTGGTCATGGCATGCGCTGGCTACAGGTAGTAAGATAAGCTAAGTTAAGGTAGCGGACGCGTTCGGTTGATATATGTGAATACCTAGTCAGACAATGACAATCCCGCTAGCACGCATATGGTGATCATTCCAAGGTTACCTAGCCTAGGTACAGAGCAAATTTGCCAACGTATACCTGACCTAGATATATTCAGTCATCCCCGGACAACTCACACCCACATCCACCCACTGCAGACAACCCCCATTCAGTCCCATCATCCATCCATGGCTCCAGAGCCCAATACATCGTCATCTGGCGTTCCCGGCCCGGCCTCAGCCGCCTCAGCCCCAAAGGCCGAATCAGCTTCACCAGCCCATACCAGTACACAAACGTCCGGGACCTACCCGGGCCTAAGCGCCAACTTCGCTGACCCTAAAGCCCCTTTCGCCGTGAATTATGACCAAGAGGTATATCTACAGTTGATGGCGGGCGAGGAGGAAGCAGGTACGCCTGCAGGAACGGCGACAAAGAAGAACAAGAGCAAGACGCCGACGCAGATCTACCGTGAGGTTTGTTCTCTCGGCTCTTCATCATTATCTTAAATATGTCGCGGGAGATAGCTAATAAGGGAGCAAAGGAATGGGTTCGAAGGGCTTTAGACCCGGCTATCTCGGACCCTCGCGGGGATCCTAGTCCGATTGACCTCGAGTGTGCGGAGAATCAGAGGGTGAGAGATAAATTTTAATGGGGTTTGACAGGAAGCGGACATGTCCATGTGCAGTGGCAAAGGTTGTCCGGGCTGGGTTGGGCTGATCGACTGAATCGTGGACGAAAAGCGAGCGATCTAATGCAGAAATCATACTTCGCTTGAATGGAGTATAGCTACCAGAAAGTACTCGGATAAGCCGGTGCCACATGTCGTAAAGCATATCAGAAAGACCACCATCGCGCCCCAAGCATATAACATCAGGTGCGGAAAAGGGAAACTATAGACAACTCAGGCGGTTGCATAGAGGGCCACAGTGTCAAAGCGACAGATGCTAAGGTCTAATTGCCACCAGGTGCCTGGGAGTTGTCATAATTATCGTCTAGACCCTCTTCCATCTCGGCAACGAATCGCTCCCATGTGTTCAACACGCCCTGGTAGAAGGTGATGTGGTTTTCCGCCAGTGCGCCCAGACTATCGCGGAATTCGATGGCTTTGATCCTTTCAAAGTCTGCCACCTCACGAACCACCTCCTCGTCAAACATCTCCGAGGTAGTTTTGGCTGACTCCACCTCGCGTGTGAGCTCGTCTATGCGTAGTTCCAGCTTCCGCATCCTCTCTTTACGTGACTGTTCGTGGTCGACCCCGCGCATGTCCTCCATTTTAGACCGAATGAATGAGGCCGGCGATGAGGTAAGGGGATTGGAGGCGTAGTATGATGATGGGTTCGCGGCAAGGGAGTCCCGCTCCGCCACCGCTTTGTTGCGATAGTCAACCAGTGCTTCGAAGTCGAGCTGCTTTTGCTCGCGAGTCTTGAGCAGTGACTTGATAGATACTATGTAGGCTTCCATATCGCGGAGTGAGCCTAGATAATTCTGATCTGTGTGGTCTTTGAGATTTTTAATACCGCGGGCGGTCTCTTCTACCGAGGCAGCAAACACCTGCAGCGGCACCTCGATCTCAGGCTCCAGAGGAACAAGCTTGCGAAACTGAGTAGCAAGGTCATTATAATCCACCTCCAAGTCAGACTCTCGCCGGGAAACTCGCGCCACAATCTTCTCCACATGGTTCAAATCCTCGTCTAGCTTGTCCGCTTTTTCTCGCACCTCGATGAATCGACGATCTGGCTTATGGACCTTGGTAAATGCATTAACAAATGTATCCGTAAAGTTGTCAAAGATTCCCGTGCTGCCGCCGTCCGATCCCCCAGTCGAGCTCCGGGACGACCGCAGCCGCATGTGCGCATTCCAATCAGGAGATTCAAGGAAGATAGCCAGCAAAGGAGCCCGGCGAAGGACCGGATGCAGCGTTAAACGTTTCAAAAACCGATGCAAAGACCACGCTCTCCGCGTAGTAAATTCAGGCCCGAACCGGTCGCCCCGAACATATTCCATTTTGTGCTTGTCCGGCAACGGGGGTACCGCACATGCTGGGTACTCCCGGTAAAGCGTCTTATAGAGGAAGAGGAAGTCTGTAAATCGCCGCCGCACGGAGAAATCTGATTTCTGGAAAGATTTGAAGTCGGTCTAGTGGCATCCGATTAACCGTCGAGTCCGAAGCTCTGCGCTAGGCAGCTGGATATAGCCAAGGCTTTCTCAGCCAGACTTACATGCGAGGTCACCAAATATGAAATGTATGCATCTTTAGTACCATCGTTTTCTTTCAACGGCGAATCCACCCGACACTCCAACACACCATCTCCGATGCCCGCAAGGTCCAAGGCGTCAGCGTGCGGCCCCGCCTGGGGCGTTTCACTCGCCGAGCTCAGTCTTCGCTTGCCATTGGGATCGCGATGGGACTCGGAGGATTCTTCTGCGTCTGTGCCTGACGTAGTGGGACGCGAGAGGTCGCTATCGGGGCCATGGCGCCACGAGACGCTATCGAAGTCGTCGTGATCCATGGAGGGGTGATCGGCAACGTCGTTTCGCAGGAATCGAGGAGACACGGAATGAAACGGGGAGCAGGAGCTCCGCAGGAGACGGGGTATAAAGATAGCAGATATATAGCCCTTGAGATCAACTATGATTGGTGCCGAAGACGGTGTTCGTCGGTCGGAGCTGTGGTTGTGGAGAGTTGCAGGTGCGGAGGTGAAGTTGATGAATCGGGGAACAGGCACACGGACACAGCGTCATCGCCAAGACCTCACCATACCTTAGGTAGGTAGAACCACGTTGATGCTAAATTCTCACTACGAGCAATTTACGGATATCACTCTATGGCGATATGAGTCTTTAGTCTCCTGTCGCAGCCATTTATTTTCCAAATGGCCGCTTGATATGTACATTTCTTGATTAATGTCGGACTGTAGAGCCTGATCCCAGTACAGCAATAGTAATCCAAGAACAGCAACAGGAAGAGGATATGAGGGAAGAAAGAATACACAAATATAAATACGCAAGCAAAGAAGAGATTAATCGCCGTTTCTCCGGGTATCATCCAAATCTGCGCTTCTCCTGGCTTCAGCTCCTGCTGTCTGGTCTCGGTAAGGCTCATCATCATCCTCATCACTGAACAACGGCTCTTCGTCGCTCTCTCCCGCAAACGCATTGTAGAGTTCGCCACCACGGCGACGGATTGATGATCCATTCATAGCCTTCGATTCATCTTCGTCCTCGATCATCTCAAACTCATAGTCATCACGGTCATTGCGAAGGCGTCTGCGCCGCTGGATTTGGAAGTATATTCCCAGTCCTATGCAGAAGGCTATGATCAAACCAATAGCCGAATAAATCCAAACCTGTGTGCGTTTGGACGCGCCGAATGTAGGGAAAAAGGACGGGAGAAAGCTGTCCGAGGCCGCAGTTGGAGTAGGGGTTGGGGTACTGTCTGTTGGGGTGGGTTTAATATTCACAGGGCGCTCAACGGTATGCGAAGGTTCAGGAGTGTTTGTAGGGGTGGGTGCTGGATTAACGCTAGTTGTGACAACAATGGAATCCTCAATGGTATGATCATCGTCATGCTCGTCGGGAAGAGGGTGCAATTCTTGCTTGGATGCGTCAGCGGCTTCACCCCATAAGTTGAGCCTCCAGTCGGTGAAGTCTCCGACATCGTCATTGACAGTTGAGTCCTTGACAATCACAGTCCAGGTACCGACGCCAGACTCGCCCCTATTGTAACGTTAGCAGGATAAAACCACAGGAACTTGCAAATACTTACCAATGGGCAACAGTCATGAAGGTCCAGTCCACATATCCTATCCGCGCTTCATCATTTCTTCTCGGCGTACTTAGGTGGCTGACAACCCCCTCAGGGCTGCGCAGTTCGACGCTTAGATCACCACGGCGTGTATGATTCAAG